AAAAATTGATGTTGATTGGATGATATCTGGATGGTTTTTGGATGATTTTTGGATGATTTCTGTATGATTTCTGTATGATTTCTGGATGATTTCTGGATTATTTCTGGATGATTTCTGTTTGATATTTGGATGATAGTTGGGTAATATCTGGATGATGAGAAGTGGAGTTTTCATCGAATTTCAAAGTGGAGTTTTTTTATCTGCAATAGTCGTGCCATATCTGGGTTAAAACTCGACTTTTCATCAAGTTGTAAAAAATATCGACCGGGTGATATTTGGACAATATGTGGGTGATATATGGATGATATGTGTAATATATGGATGATATCTGGATGATATGTGGGTGATATCTGGATGATATGCAGGTGATATCTAGATGATATCTAGATGATATCACCCATATATCATCCAGATATCACCAATCCAATCAGGTATTCCTCTTCACACCCCATCTACATTCCACCATCTGGAATAATCTAAATTAAGACTTGTACATTCATACAGCACACATCTTTAACAATTACATATTCAATATATGTTATACTGAATTAACTTACCGTTTTACCTGTTACAAGACTGTCTAAGTGGAACTTCTATTTATCAAAAAATCAAGAATGCACTCCAAAATCATCAAATATTATTAAATTCTCACTTAAAAATGCATTTTTTTGCCGTTGAAGTTTCGTGAATATATTGACACAGAAACTGGGATTCAAAAAGTCGAGTTTAAGTCGAGTTTCTTCAACCAGATTTCACCCAGCTGGTGACCGGAGTTCAAAAGTGGAGTTAAAGTCGAGTTTAAGTGGAGTTTTGACGGGGAGTTTTGAAATCCCAGTTTTCACCCTGACTTGGTAAAAACTGGGATTCAAAAAGTTGAGTTTAAGTCGAGTTTTTACCCAGATTTCATCCAGTTGGTGACTGGAATTCAAAAGTGAAGTTAAAGTCGAGTTTAAGCGGAGTTTTGAAGTGGTGTTTTGAAATCCAAGTTATAAACTGGGATTCAAAAATGTCGAGTTAAAGTCAAATTTTTTTACCCAGATTTCCTTGAGTCGAGTTTAAGTTGAGTTTAAGTGGAGTTTTGAAGTGGAGTTTAGGACAACTAGTTATCATCTATGTTGTATCATCCAGTTCTGTCTATTGGGACATCACAAACTTGGGGTCATCACTAAGGCGAGACGTGAATCAAAAGTAACTGATAGCAATATAATATCCAGCTACGTGGCATAGAAGCTAGGTTAGAGCTCATGAATGCCGTCTTTAGCTCTGCCACAATAGTTACTTCAATTCTCCTTATAGGGAGTGTTCTTTAAAATTAAATGGGATATATAGAGGATAAATCTGAAATGTGTTCGAAACCGATAACATGAAAATTGTCTGAGATGTTAGATTAACATGTTTTATTTAGACTTTGGGCTTTTTCGCTCTTATTGTCCATTTTCTAATTACCAAAACATCAGAGGAAAAAAACTGAAACCAATCGAGTTCGAATTTATTGGAGGTTTGGCATATTGTTATTCCATTTTATTGTTCACGCAAACTCTCTTTAAATGAAGGGTGTTAAGATACACGCGTATACAGGATTTTAGCCAGAGGGGGGGGCAAGACTTCGCCCCCTGGCTGTTTTTTGCCCCCCCCCCCCCTGGAATAGTTTTGTTCAAAACGTCAATTAATACCATAAAAATAAATCAGACACGCTAAATTTTTGGGTTTTACTAACCTTCTAGAGCCTAATTTATTTGCTCGATAAACTAACGTTATCGTTATCACAGCTAGACAGTGGCGCAACTAGTACTTTTGTGAGGGGGGGGGGGACGAAATTTTATTATCAAGGGTATGTGGGGAGGGCACAGTGGGGAGCTAGCCCCTCCGTGTCGAAAGTTTTTTGAAAATGAAATGGCAGTTTTAAGGGTTTGAAGTCTAAAAAACCAGAAATTTTTAAATGTTGCAGGTTCCAATACTGTGCTGTAAAATGACCGACATGAGTCAACTCGGTAAATGTGTGCGCGAAGCGCAAAAAATGTGTACTTCTAGTATTTTTTATGTATTTCTTAGTGTCTGTTAGGGTTTCTTAGTCATATTCACTGTGTATTTTAAGTACATATTGCAATCTGCATCAGATTTTTGTAATTCATCTAGTCGACGTGTGCCCATAATCCATAAAGTCTCTCTGTAGAACCCTCTGCTGCCCTTGTTTGCCAATAACCCTTTGTTTCTTCCTATAGCCTGCAAAAGTCCTTATAGTCAGATAAAATCCTTATTATTTCTTTGAATTGTTCTATATCTATATGCAGTTTCTGAGTTCGTAAGTTGTTCTATAACCTTAACATGAATTGTAATCCCCATAAGAAGTAACATATATATAAATTAAATATACCTGACTTTCTCTAAGTTGAAAAAGAGACAATAATTAGAAACTCTAGTTGCAATTATGCGCGAAGCGCCAAAGAAAAATTTTGGTATTTTTTTTTCTTAGATGGCAAAATTTGATAAAAGATCGCGATACAGTCAAATGAGGAGTGGGGGGGGGGGGCAAAATCGGGTTCGCTCTCCCCCTAGTTGCGCCACTGTAGTTAACTGAATCATTAATCACAGCATCATTAAAAAATTCAATTTTCATTATAAAATGAAATTAAAATTAGAAATTCAATATAATAATGAAAACGAAATAATCGATTTTAGCATTGATTTATTGACAAGTTTCTTTTGTGAAATATGTTCCTAGCCATCTAACTAGATTACTGTATAATTTTTACTTTTTTTTCGTTGTCGTTATTTAATAATTTAAAAAAAACTAATTCTGAAAGCGTATCCACCCCCAAATCAGGAGTTTTGAACGTCGAATTTGTGCTCAAACTCAGGATTTACAGATCTTTAAAAAGTGAAATATGTCTCAAATGAATCCTAAAGAAGTTTTCGACAACACTGCATACTCAGTTCAATTACCTTACATAGCCGGTCACTCCCTTTAAGATAAAAAGGTAGCACTTTGACATTAGATATATACATCGATTATCAAACATGTCACACTGCACTGTCACGTTTCGTAGGACACTCTGTCTTACACTTATTATTTTTATTTATTTTTTCATACAACTTAAACATAATAGGAGGGATTATTGAAGAGATTAGGGACAATCAGAGGGAATTATAGGGGGCGGGGGGGATTATCGGAAATTAGTATCAATCAGTAAAAATCATAATAAATAGATTATTCAAGAATTTATATGATTGATGATATGAATTAAGATTTGAGAACAACTGCAATATCATCTGAGCTAAAAACTTTTGAATGGGATATCCTTAATCCCGATCGGTTAATTAATCTTGAGATTAATAACAAGATGAGAACAAGCATTATTTAATCTCGATATTAAGAAAAAGAGTGGATCAAGCTTCAATCCCAATATCCACCTTTCAAAAGTTCAGCTCTGGTTAACTTTAAATTAAATAAATTAAAAATCAGAAAAAGGGTGATAAATATGAAGGTAATGACATTAAAATCTTTTTTAATAAAACAAATAAATAAGGTAAATAAAGTTTTTTAAAGACTTGAAATGTTTTGTGTGTATACTGTGTATACTTTCACTGTAACAAAGAAGGGAGGAGAACTGGAGAACAGAGAAATCAAACAATAAAATTAGCCCTTGAACCCTCCCCCTCATCCCACAACCATATATTTACNCCCCCTCTTCCTAACCGTAGCATCCTACTCCCCCACCCTCTTTCCCCCGCCCATTTTCTTTATGTTCTCCAACCCTTTCAAACTCTTATGACTTATTTTCACTTCACAATCTAATACTCCCCACTCCTTTGAGCTGAAAATTTTAGAATTGTGGATATCGAGATCAATACTTGATCTCCTCATCTCCTCTTTTTGTTATTCTGAAGATTAATATAATCTTTGTTTTGAAAGTGGCTAAAATTCAACCAATCAGAGAGTTAATTGTATAAACCACACAGCCAACCAGAAGCCGGGAAATTTTGCACACAATCAACCAGAGAATTCTTATTGGTCAGAACCCAGCAGGGAACTGGGAAAAATCCAAAAGAGAAGATTAAGCAGAAAATAAAAAAGTGTCCACAGTGCATATTGAGATTAAGCAAACAAAATTTCTGTTTTTCTTTAGAGATTCTATACTGTATCCATTGTTAGAATTTGAAACTATGTATCAATTCAAAACTCAACAAATGAGCAAAAAACATATTTTTTGTGAATCCTTCCTTCCCTTAAGTCTTCTTCATCAAAACTATATTCAACAAAGACCGCTGAACAAAGAAAAAAAATGGAATAAATATTTAATAATATGTAAATACTTGGAATATTTGAAATACTATATTTTTGACCGAGAATAACTGAATAGCGACAATAACGGTTTCTGTCTGGCATTTAAAACTTTTTGTTCATGTTCAACATTCTAAGCTTTTACAGATTTGATGTTGAGGGCGTATGCAAGGCAATGGGGGGGGGGCTTAACAAGCCCCCCCCCTCCTCTCGAAAAAAGATCTAAGGGAATTGAGTCTTCGCCACAAACTGAAATTTTCTTATCCATTTGCAATCTGATGGTGTGTAAACATAAGTAATTTAATAGAACAGAATTCATGGTTTGAAATATCTAATATTTGCAATCTGATGGTGTGTAAACATAAGTAATTTGATCGAACAGAATTCATGGTTTGAAATATCTAATATTTGCAATCTGATGGTGTGTAAACATAAGTAATTTGATCGAACAGAATTCATGGTTTGAAATATCTAATATTTGCAATCTGATGGTGTGTAAACATAAGTAATTTGATCGAACAGAATTCATGGTTTGAAATATCTAAGACCCACGTCTTTGGGTTGCAAAGATTATAGGGATTATAGAAAAGCAGGGTCCGTGGTAAAGACTTAATTCCGTTTTCCATTTAAGCTAAAAATGTCAACAAAAAAGTGTTCCTTCTTCTTGAATCTCACACATTTTATTATTTAGACCCCTTTCTTTTTTAACAAATCTGAATACAATAAATACGTTTATTACAAATAGATAATTAATATTTTACAAAACAATAAAAACACAAAACCAATAAAAAGGCATAAAAATACCTTATTACAGAGACTAGATAACATCTTAAAGCATTCACTACGAGAATTTTCTCCACTCAACGCAAATATTGCGTACAATAGAACACATAAATTCGCGCCAGTGCGTTTTGATAAGCATATTGTTTATAATCTTACTTTTTATTACAAAAACATGATTACTATTGTTTTCGAAAACAGTCTTAAACAGATTTACAAAAGCTTTTACAACGTAAATTATATTTGAAAGAATTAATGCGTTTTTAAAATGGCATGCCAATAAGGACCCGTGTAACCTCTGTCTTGTTCCCCCCCCCCCCTCTCCACGGTTCGTGAGGTCTAGACACGACGGGATAAAGATCATCTTGTTTATAGTCCCCCCCCCTTCCTTCCATCTCATAATCCCCTTTCACTCCCCTAGCTTTTAAACATCTAATTTAATATAATTCTTACCTTCACCAATGAAAAAATACAGAAATTTTTGGATACCCCCCCTTTCCCTTCTTAAACATGTTTTCCCTTTCCCCCCCCCCCCGCCCTAGCTGGGACCTAGTCAGAATTAAGCTATAAAAAGTTTGCTCTACGAATAGGTATGCACGAAAATATGGTTTAGACGATGATTAGAAAATCTTTAGAACCCGCCTAGACACTTAAACTTTACAGTTAAAACTATCAGGAGATTATGAAAACATTTCTCAACCTTTTACACCTTTCCAATCTTTTATGATCCTTTCAACCCTTTCTGCTCCTTTCAAACCTTTCTGATTTTTTTCAGACCTTTCTGTTCTTTCTAAACTTTTCCATCCTTTCAAAACTTTCTGAACCTTTCTAAACCATAACAAACCTGAACGGAAAGAAAAATTGGAAATCTGAAATCAGAAACTAGGAAATCTGCTAAGGAAAGAAACTTGTAAACCTGAAAGAAATGAAACTAGGAAACTAGACAACCTAACAGGAAAATTCTTGGAAACCTGGAAGGAAAGAATAATATAAAACGCTAAACCGGGAAACTTGGAAATCTGCGGAGGAAAGAAACTAAAAAACCTGAAAGGCAAGAAACTTGGAAACCCGAAAAGAAAGTAACTTGGAAACCTGAAAGTAAAGAAAGTTGGAAACCTGAAAGGAAATAAAATAGGAAACCTGAAAAGAAATAAAATAGGAAACCTGAAAAGAAATAAGGTTGGAAACCTGAAAGTAAAGAAGGTTGGAAACCTGAAAGTAAAGAAGGTTGGAAACCAGAAAGTAAAGAAGGTTGGAAACCTGAAAGTAAAGAAGGTTGGAAACCTGAAAGTAAAGAAGGTTGGAAACCTGAAAGTAAAGAAGGTTGGAAACCTGAAAGTAAAGAAGGTTGGAAACCTGAAAGTAAAGAAGGTTGGAAACCTGAAAGTAAAGAAGGTTGGAAACCTGAAAGTAAAGAAGGTTGGAAACCTGAAAGTAAAGAAGGTTGGAAACCTGAAAGTAAAGAAGGTTGGAAACCTGAAAGTAAAGAAGGTTGGAAACCTGAAAGTAAAGAAGGTTGGAAACCTGAAAGTAAAGAAGGTTGGAAACCTGAAAGTAAAGAAGGTTGGAAACCTGAAAGTAAAGAAGGTTGGAAACCTGAAAGTAAAGAAGGTTGGAAACCTGAAAGTAAAGAAGGTTGGAAACCNATACAAGGATACAAGGATACAAGGATACAAGAATACAAGGATACAAGAATACAAGAATACAAGGATAAAAGGATACAAGGATACAAGGATACAAGGATAAATGGAAAAAAGGATAATAAGTTTCAAGAGATTCTTTAGTTTCAGGGTTCTCTAGTTTCTTGCTCTTTTGGGTTCCTTGGATCACCGGCTTCCAAGTTCTGTTGTCTCCAGATTTCTAGGTTGCAGGGAACCCTTGTTCTTTGGATTTAGGGAACCATTGTTTCGTAATCTTCGAAATCTTTGGTTCCTTGATCACCAGGTTCCATGATTAATTGATCTTGCTAGTCACTTTATCTTCGGGTTCCTGGTTCCTTCGTCTCCGGGTTCTTCGGTTACTTGATCTAACTCTGGTTTCCTGGTTCCTAGAAATCAGGGTTTCCTGAGTCCATGGTTCCTAGATCTCTAGTTCCTAAATCTCCGGGTTCCCTGGTTCCTTTATCTGAGTTCGCATGACGGAGTTAAAACCTTGAAATCTAGTTTTCACACTGTTATCCTGGTGTAGTGGAGTCCTAGAGTTGTATACATGGTTAAACCAGGATACACAGGATACACTGTTGCGGTTTCTTAACTTCGTATTCAACTCTTTACCTCAATATATACCTTTGTCTTAACAAGACCCCCCCTTCTCCAGAAACAATCACGCCTATATTTATGTTTTTCATCCCTATGTTCTCGTAGAATTGACTTTAACAATCTCTCAGCTGACGTTGATGACAGAATGCAAAAAATGTGCAAAAAATACTTTTTGACAGATGTTCAAATATATATTCTAGTATCCACCCATGCAAACAGTGCAAAAACAGTCGCACTTTTTCAGTCTCAGTTGGAGCCACCGCTCATAAACGTCAATCTCTGTCGACCAACAACATGCTAAATGTCGACCTAAAGATGGGCGAGGATGTCGACCTCGGAATTCACAGGTCGCATTGGGTAGTTGCGGTCGACCGCCGCAGAAACAGTGACAACGACCGATTGTCCTTGTGTCTCGTTGTTGTTCTGAACAATCGTCACTTCGTCGTCTTTCCGCTTTGTCGACTTTTGCTTCCCGTCGCCAAGTTTACCAGTGAGATGAACGCGCTGAAATTGATCTTGAAGATTCGACAAATAGTTCTCCTTTTCCTGAACAAATATGAACAATTACAATTAACAAAACTACAAAATGAAAGTTAGAAAAAAGTGCTATAAAAAAATTTTAACATTTATGTTTGAAGTTCAATTTTAACAAAATTTAACAAAAAATACCTTAAAAATTTAGATTTCTTTAAAGTATTAACAAGTAAAGAATACAAAAAACATTAATTCAATAGATTTAGTCTAAATATTCTAATTTTTGGGTTTATATACATTGTACAATAATAAAATACTACAGATCATAATATGATATAATGTTTTATTCTTATTTTGAAACATATAGTTCTTAAAAATGCATGTTTATCTGAGTTTATTTACCTGTTCTGAATGAATGATAATGCTCGCTTTATGCAGGTTTCCTGGGATGACCGGAACCACGCTAGCGTGCTCCGCGCTCTCCTTTGGTTCCTCTGCTATCCGCGCTTGAGATAGGTAGCTTAACTGACTGCATTGGCGCGCGTGCATGGGGGCTGGGTGTTCACTAGCCCTGCTTCTATAGCTGGGAGGGCGGGATACATCCTGGGGGAGTGGCAGACCTAATCGAGGACCTCTATATGCCGGGGGCGGGCTCACAACAGGAGGAGGAGGCGGAGGGGCGTTCCTATCCATGAGAAGGAGGCGGAGCCTATATTCCTGCATACTCGCCTGGTAGGAAGGTGGAGGTGGACGATACTGGAAATCTGTGTACAACATTCCGCCGTAGGGGTGAGAATTACGCGGGAACGGATGGCGTGGGATAAATCGCCCATCGCCACATTCCGTGTGGGGCTCAAGACCCATCATAGCGCGGCAGGATGGCGCATCGCGTGAAGTTAATCGCCAAGCTATCCCAGATACAGTAATCAGTACTATTCCAACTCCTACAATAACAATAATTACGATGATAATAATAATAAAAATAAAATGCTTGTGTAAAATCCTGTATTTGACATAAATCCTTGAATTATAAAATGTTGTAAATTATGCAATGTATCCCATTAAACTTGACTAGTTTTACCTTAGTAATAATAAATTATATTGGACAGATGCGATTCTGGTTTCTTCAGGATGTATTACATTAAATTATGTGAAAGAAAATGCAAATTTAAAAAATAAAAAATAAAACTGGAATTTTCCCCAAAATCAAAAACACGTTCTTTTGTATGTTAGTAATTAGTATCATCCATATATGCAAGTCTGTTTAATTATATCAAAGTCTTTCAAAGTCTATCTAAGATTATCTAAGTCTGTTTAAGACTCAAAGTCTATCAAATTTTACCAAAGTCTATCAAAGTTAGTCAATTAAATCTATCTAAGTCTATTTAAGTTATCCAAATAAATCTAAGTCAATCTAAGTCTTTTTGAGTCTAACTTATAGTTAATATTGTTATTATTTTTATTTGTTTGTTAGTATGTTATAGTCTATCTGAGCCTATGTAAGTCTATCAAAGCCTATGTAAGTCTATGCATCTTCTTTCTATTTGTCTATATACTTATCTATTTATCTATTGACCTATTCATCTATTTATCCATATATCTATATATTTATCTATCTATCTATCTATCTATCTATCTATCTATCTATCTATCTATCTATCTATCTATCTATCTATCTATCTATCTGTCAATATGTAAATTATCAACTGTTGCTGAGAACAAAACTTGAACCTTATCTTTAACCTACGATGGCTTTGCAATATAGATAGACCATTGTTATATAGATAGATGAATAGATGAATAGATGGATAGATGGATAGGATAGACATATGAATGTAGAGAGAAAGAAACAGTATTAGATAATAGATAGATCGATATAGTTGCCAGAAAAACCAGAATTAACCAAATCATTTATATAAAATGTGCCAAGACAGGTTTTAGAATATGTTATATAAGATTGGAGGTGTGCTGGAATGCGTAAACTGTTGCGTATAAACTATTGCGTGTATCAGTTCGGCATCATTAAAGAACATTAAAAATAATGATTTTATGACATGGAACTGCACGGGAATATGAAGAAATGAACGTAAAATCTATGTATGTGGTAAAAATGCATTTGAAGGCTTTTTGAAGTAATCTTTAAACAATGTATTAGCACAATAACAAAACTAAATTTTTTAAATTTGATATCCCATTTTTTAATTTGATATCCCATTTTAAATTTGATATCCCATTTTAAATTTGATATCCCATTTTTAATTTGATATCCCATTTTTAATTTGATATCCCATTTTTTTAATTTGATGTCCCATTTTTAATTTAATATCCCATTTTTTAATTTGATATACCATTTTTAATTTGATATCCCATTTTTAATTCGATATCCCATTTTTAATTTGATATCCCATTTTTAATTTGATGTCCCATTTTTGGTTTGTTTAATATCCCATTTTACTTAGATATACCATTTTTTTATTTTATCTAAAAGAGACTGAACATATAAGTGAGTAAAGTTATAAAGAGTGGGGTGTCAGATTCACAAGGGGACCCTAAAACTATTTGTCTGTTTATGAATAAGTTCAAAATCCTTATTTTTCCAACAGAAAATTGATCCTTTTCAACAGTCGTTTCTCTTAAAAGTGAATCGCATATAATGCATACTCTACTTAACGATTATGAAGAAAAAAACTATAAACTATAATTCATCACTTTTTGATTTAGAAAAACGACATTATGTAAGTTGCTGTATTACTCAGAAAGAGGTTTAAAGAACTCCGATAAGACTTGAACATGCTACTATATAAATTCTAGGTTTGTGAGGGGGTAGGGGGGGGGCACCCCTTAAAAAGCGTACCTATCATTAGGAGTGAGACTGTAAGGTGCTCCCTTCCTGAGGCCTTCATGGCCCCTAGAACCGTCCCTACGATGGCACAACAGATTCCTACGAAGGCGATCATGACGATGAACCAGCGGATGCTCACGGACTGGGACACCATCATTCCACAGCAGGTCTTAGAGTCATCTTCCAGTAGAGGGGGCTCTCCGCCACACCGTCGTCTGAAATATAAAAAAAATATATTTTAAATCCTCAAATGAAGATTTTTCGAATTATTCCGCAAAAAATCCGTTAAAATTGTGTTCTCTAAGTGATTGTTTTTCACAAATACGAAAAATATTCTTTTTCCACCAAAATAATAAAATAAAAATAATATTTCTTTTCAATTCTTTCCTCTATAACAAGCTTACATTAAGCCTACACATGACAACTTGTGTCAACCAAGTTCAAAAAGTAAAAAAAAAAAAATCTAAAATATCTTTTTGCAGCCTGTGGTAAAAAAAAAGTGTATAATGGAAAAATGTGGAAAGGATGAAAGAAAGTTGAAACATAAAAGTAGAACTTTGATAAAATCACACAATATCCGGTAAAGGGGGGGGAAAATATCTGTATCTAGGGACCCTTAAATCTAAGGGGGGCTAAATGAACTAAAAAGAAAAAATAAATAGTTTAAGGTTTATCAATTGAAAATCGGACATATTCAAAATGACATTAAAAACGTCAACAATGCATACATGATTTTACAGTAACCACTGGCCATAAATGTGAAGTTTTCAATGCAAATAGTTGTGTATGGTTCTAATCTATATATCTGTGTATAAATCACTTTGGTTTCATGTTTGTATTGTGGGTGGAACAGTATGAGTGGGCGTATCCCAACTATTATCTGTTTGGATAAAAGTAATAAAAATTCAAACCAAAACACAATTGAAATGACACAAAATACCTACTTAGTATTCATACTAGGACACTAAGGGCCTAAAAAAGGTCTGGATTACGACCCCTTTAAAGCCAGGGGAGTCAGGATTTGAGGATAAGTTCTAAACCAAATATAGCGAATTCTTAATTCAATAGCAATGGGCGTTACTCACATGTGACACAGGGGAGGGAAGAATAAAATGTATGTGAATCTTTATTGAAGTATTGAGTCAGGTTTAGATAATATATTGACACGAGTAGGAATAATACTCAGTCACATCCCACTGTGGGCTAAATATCAAAGATCACTCTGGGTTCAATGTGTGATAAAAACAAGTAGATTTGCGTGATTTCTATGGACGAATGACTATAAGGAAATAAGTTTTTTATTGGCTTAATTCTTAATTAGACGTTAACACACTTTCAGGTTTAAAAATTAGATTTAAGTTTCAGTTTAGGTTCAGTTAGGAGATAATATTCTTTAAAGTTTAAATGGATTAAGTTAGGTTTGCAGTTTTTACTCTTTGATAATAATTAAAAAACGTGAGACGCTCTAAGGGTGCAAAGTTGAACATGCAACCCCCTCATCAAATGAAGCTCTAGGTTGAAGCTAGATTGATTTTGCACAGTTGAGTTTAGGTTTGAAACTCAAATTTTCACATGGATATTATTCTACACGGCATTGAGTATTGAATTCATCTGAGGATATGTTATTATGAACAATTTAAATTATTTATTATCATTCGACGATAGGATAGGTATAGACAATAAACTATAGAAGGGGGGGGGGTGCATTCGTGCAATAATTCATAAATACAATATTTTTTATTCATGCCTTTGTTTAAAAAAATTCATTAGTAATGTTTCATTTTAATAAAAAGATTGAATAACATCCATGTATACAACAAATAAAAAATATATAAATTGTTTTTTTTTTTATTAAATAATTGGATAATTGAAATTGTCAAATAGATTAATGAATTAATGACATAGGATACTCTATTTGATAATTGAATGAAAGAAAAGGATGTTGGATGAATAGGTGTATCTGAATAAACTTTAGGATGAATAAATGACTGAATGAATGAATGATTAAACATCATGATATATATATTATACAAGCTCACTCAACCAATCAAACATGGCATTTATAAATTCAAAAATTTTATACAAATAAAATGTTGTTTTTTTTTATCCTAAAATTTATTCAATTCAAAACCTTTCATCTCGGATACGCATAAAATAAAGCCGCGGTTCTGCTTGTGACGCTTTTTGTAAGCGTATCCTTCCATTCAAGCCGATACAAGCAGTTCTAGGTATGGATAATGAGCAAAAAGGTATTGATTCCAACCCCCCCCCCTTCCTCCCTGTGCCCCTCTTTCTAGTTATCCCCCCCTCTGCCACCTTCTTTTGTTTTGCACCTCCATTTTTTAATTTGATATCCCATTTTAAATTTGAATATCAAAAACAAAAACGTAATTCCCAAGAAAAATAAGGAATGATGAATAGCGTCCAAATTTGAACCTTTTCGCGAACCTGCCTGATTTGGGCCTTGAATTCCAAGCATCAATAGGCCTGTTTTGTTTTAAATATACCGTTAGTTATGGAATACAATCTAAAAATAACGCTTAAACAAAAATAACCAAGGCAAAAAAAGAAAAGTAGAAAAGAGAAAGATTTTTTGACAACAGAGGAAATGATTTATATTATTATTTTGCTTGTTCTCTTATCATATCATTTTCTTATCAAATTTGGTCAAATTTAATCCATTGTATAGGAAATATATGAGGCCCCTTTATGTCATTTCCTAACCCTAACTTAGAATAAAAAATAATTTCAATTTCATTCAAAACATTTTTATTGGGTATTTATCGCTATTCTTAAAACTTAGGAAAGGAAAAGTTTTTTCAAATTAAATCCCCCGAAATCCACGAAAACCACAATTTAAAAAAATGCCTTCCCTATTTATGAGAACAAGAGTGAAATATAAAACCGATTTAGATTTAGCTCAATATTTATCATATATATTGATCTAGAAGGAATTAAAATGGCTATTATTGATCTAAACAGGTGTTTTTAAGAGTAAGAAGACCTAAAATCAATAAATAAACATATGCGAAACATGTACAATATACATTGTATATAATATATACTTGTAATTTTCAACTATCAATACATTATCAGATTGAAGTCTGTATCAGGGTCCTTTAATCTAATACTCTGTATCAGGGGTCCTTTATCTAAATGTCAGTGGCCCCTACTCTAAGCGGTCTTAAATCTTAATGTCTCTATCAGTGATCTCTTATTCTAAATGACTGTATCACTTGCCCTTTGATCAAAATGTCTGTATCATTTGTCATTTAATCAAAATGTCTAAATCAGTGACACTTAAATCTAAATATCTGTATCTAGGGACCCTTTAATCTAAATATCTGTATCTAGGGACCCTTAAATCTAAATATCTGTATCTAGGGACACTTAAATCTAAATATCTGTATCTAGGGACCCTTAAATCTAAATATCTGTATCTAGGGACCCTTAAATCTACATATCTGTATCTAGGGTCCCATAAATCTAAACATCTGTATCTAGGGACCCTTAAATCCAAATATCTGTATCTAGGGACCCTTAAATCTAAATATCTGTATCTAGGGACCCTTAAATCCAAATATCTGTATCTAGGGTCCCTTAAATCTAAATATCTGTATCTAGGGTCCCTTAAATCTAAATATCTGTATCTACTATCTAGGGACCCTTAAATCTAAATATCTGTATCTAGGGACCCTTAAATCTAAATATCTGTATCTAGGGTCCCTTAAATCTAAATATCTGTATCTAGGGACCCTTAAATCGGACCCTTAAATCTAAATATCTGTATCTTGGGTCCCTTAAATCTAAATATCTGTATCGAACTGTCTGAAATAGGAGATTTTATTCTAAATCCCTATCTCTTATAAATGGTCCTCTTATCTATATTTGCTATCAACATGTATAATATGCATGAAAACATAATTTGCTTTTAAGTATTGATTTTAGAAAGGAAAGTCCTAACTAAAGGAGGAGGGGTAGGGGTATGGTAGGTTAAAATCCTGTAAACATAAAATTATATATAGTTGTTCTTCAGTGTAAGCTATTCAAGTGAAAAAGATTTTAAAGTTCTGCTTGTCCAAATCAAAATATGAAGTTTTCCTAATTTCTATAATAATTCACTTCCTGGTTACGGATGTTTATTATCTTTATGTTATTTTTCTTATGGTTTCCCCCACCCTTTTCTCCCCCA